TCCTCCTCCTCCTCCTCCTCCTCCTCCTCCTCCTCCTCCTCCTCCTCTTCTTCTTCTTCTTCTTCTTCTTCTTCTTCTTCTTCTTCTTCTTATTATTATTATTATTATTATTATTATTATTATTATTATTATTATTATTATTATTTTATTAGTTAATCTTTAGTGAGATTCACAGCCTTTGAGGCTGGTTAATAGCTCAGCAGCTCGAGTCCTAACCAAGGACCTAGGAACTGTTAAGGTATCGTCGGAGGATGTAAGCTGTTCCGAGTAATGTGATTTTTTGTAGAGTCAAAATGTTCAAGTCCGGCAAATTTAGAATTTCTAAATAGCGGGGTAGCCCTTTGGGTATTGCTCCAAGGGCTCCAATTACATATATAATTATTAATAATATAATAATTATATTATAATAATAAAAATAATATATTATTATTATTATTATTATTATTAATAATAATAATAATAATAATAATAATAATAATAATAATAATAATAATAATAATGTTCAATTCTTCAAGAACATCTCCCTCTTAACAAGCATATAATGGTGTAAGCTTATGATTAAGAAGTGTGATGGTTTGATTGTTGATATGCTAGTTTTAGTTCCTACCTTGACATTTTATTTAACTACTTGTTTTTTTGTAACTAAGGTTAAATGTTATTAAGGTTAAATGTTATTATATGTTATTATATGTTAAATGTTATTAAGGTTAAATGTTATTATAAGCACAACAAGAATTTTGCTTGATTGGTAGAGGACAATATTTTGGCTAAGATAAAAATTGGAGAGAGAAAAATTTAAACTATGTAATAGAATTTATGTAACATTTTCTACCTTTTTTGGTTTTTTTGAAAACTGAACAGATTTGAAGCCACACTGATTGTCACCTTTGCACACAAGCAAAGGAGGCTTAAATATTTTTTTTTCCTGTAGCTCTTTCATCCCATCTCTATGTATCAGATTTTTTTAAAAAAAACACACACACACACCCCCTAGAGTTTAAGTTGCATCATACACACTTTGTAATCAATTATTTATTTGGCCAAATAAGTTCTATATGAAAAATGCACATTCTGTTCTTTTAGCGCAAAGTTGGTATTTAATGGGAAGATGGATTTTCATCTGTACCTTGACTGAATTTGATTGAACAGCTATTGCAGTTCAGTAGCAATCAGAATGTTTGGGACCAATAAATGATAAGGGTCGTAAGCTTGCCTCTGAAATAAAGCTGAATCACAGTTCATCGCCTCAGTTAAAGATGCAAATGTATGGATAGTCTGCTTCAGATTTTCACGCTATTTGAAACCATGTTTTCCTTTTGGAATAGCTGACACATATATAGTTATATCAGCGGTCCCCAATCTTTGGGTTTGGTGGCCCTGCTGGGGAGGAAGGACAGGGTTGGGCTCCTGGAGGTTCGCAGGTGTTCAGGAGAAACTTAGCTAAGATTTTATGCAGACTCCCATTCCTGGCTGGCCCTGCCCACCACACCCCGTCCCTCCCCTCCCAGGAGTCCCCACATGGCCCATTTTGGATGCAGGTAAGTGCAGGGCACGCACGGACACTCGGGAGAGTGAAAAATGGGCTTACCAGAAGTTCGGGAAGTGGGCCCATTTCTGGCTTCCAGACAGCCCCTAGAGCCTGGGGAGGCCATTTTTACCCTGCCAAAGGCTCAAGGAAAGCCTCCTGAGCACAGGGAGAGCAAAAATGCCCCCCCACTATGGCGCAGGAGGCCACACCTACCATGGCCATGCCCATCTAGCAACCAGGCAGAGAATCCCTTGCTAAAAATTTTGAAGCCCACCGCTGGGGAGGGGGTGTAGAGGGAACTAAGCCATGTGAGTGCGAGAGTGCATGCAGCTCCACTCACACAAGAGAGAAGAGAAGACTTTGGGGTGCAGTTTTACGCTCCTTCAGGCTTCTGTGCGCCAAAAGCTTTTGCAAAATGAATGAAGGCCTGAAGCGGCATGAGATCGCTCCCTTGAAGCCTTTTGTCCATTTGCAAAAGCTTTTAGCACAGAGAAGAGAAGCCTTTGGGGACACAGTCTCATGCTCCTTCAGTCTCACTGAGACTTCCCAATTTTCCAAAAGCAGATCTGGTATCCTGCGCAGGCAGCCTTGATGAGTCAGTGAAGCTGAGCATGGTGCGCTTGTTAAACTCAGTGTCAGCATTCCGGCTAACGCCACCAGGGGTGCTATTCAGCAGGTTCTGACAGGTTCTGGAGAACCGGTAGCGGAAATTTTGAGTAGTTCGGAGAACCGGCAAATACCACCTCTGGCTGACCCCAGAGTGGGGAGGGAATGGGGATTTTGCAGTATCCTTCCCCCAGGAGTAGGGAAGGAATGGGGATTTTGCAGTATCCTTCCCCTGCTACGCCCACCAAGCCACACCCACAGAACCGGTAGTAAAAGAATTTGAATTCCCCCATTGATTATGCACCCATTGAAAGCAGAACTCCAATGCAGTAGACTCCTCAAAGGACAGATTTATTGTCCTTACGGTGCCATCATATCGGCGCAGCTAGTGAAAACCTACTCTAAAAGTTCCTGCTGTTATTCCCCTAATTACAAGAGCAAATAATTCCCTCCCCAGATGTCACTGGTCACATTGTCCAATGAAAATAGCTGACAGGCTGCTTGGTCACTCCTCTCCTCATTCAACTGCCACCTGCTGGGATGACCTTGGTTCCCACAAGAAAACTTTTTGTTTTGACTGGTAGCTGGTCTATCTACTCCCCCTCCCTTTCCCCCCTCAGAGTTTGTGGCAACTACAGGTTCGCTTCAGAGTTGACACTTAGCTTCTCCACTCACTGCTCCGCTTTTGGAGCATCGGGAGCAGGCGGCTTGGTGGCCCAGCTGGAGAGGGCAGAGGGGAACTGGGCCGTGCGAGTGGTGGGCTGGCATGTAAACATATGCGCAGCTCACACAAAAAAGAAGAGAAGCCTTTGGGGTGCTGCTCACACAAGTGAAGCTGCGCATTCACGCCGGCCCGCCGCTTACACAACCTGGTTCCGAATAGGCCATGGCCTGATAGCTGGCTATGGCCCGGGGTTTGGGGACCCCTGTAGTATATAATACATTTCCATATCATGCATAAGAGAAATGCTTAGATCAGTGATGGCTAACCTTTTTGCCGTCGCATGCCAAAAGCGTGGGGAGCGTGGGGGGGGGTATCACGCGTGTGTGCCCACACCCATAATTCAATGTCCCTGTGCCCCCCCCATGCATGTGCACATGAACCCCCCACGCTCCCCACACTTTTGGCACATGATGGTCCAGTGGGCTCAATAGGCCCATTTTTTGCCTTCCCCAGGCTCCAGAGGCTTTCTAGGAGTCTGGGGAGGCTTAAAACAGCCTTCCCTACACCCCCCCCCCGAGACCCTCTGGAGGCTGGAAATGGCCCGTTTTCTGACTTATGGTGGGACTGGAAGGCCCATTTTTTGCTCTCCCCAGGCTCCAGAGGCTTTCTAGGAGTCTGGGGAGGGGAAAAATGACCTTCCCCACCCCTTTGGAGGCCCTCCGAAGGCCATATACAGTCCATTTCCCAACTTCCGGTGGGCCCGGAATGCCCAAAAATCAGCTGGCCAAGGCACATATGTGTGCTGGAGCTAAGCTAGGGCAACCCTCGTGTGCCCACAGATATGGTTCTGGGTGCCACCTGTGGCACATGTGCCATAGGTTCACCATTATGGGCTTAGGTAGTACAAATTAAAAAAAAAACATTTAATGATATATGAAAGTCTCAACAGGGGCTCTCCAATGGCTGGTGAATTTTACCTTTTCTCTGGCCCCACTTGTAATAGGAGCCTGAGTGGCGTAGGAGGCTAATGCCTCCTATTAAGGCAGCATTTAACATACAGCTGCCTGCAATTACTGCTGGTTCGAATCTCTCCAAGGCTCAAGGTTGACTCAGCCTTCCATCCTTTCTAAGGTAGATAAATTGAGGACCCAGTTTGTGGGGGCAATAAAATATATTTTATACTTTTGTATAAAATATACAAAAGTATGAAGGCTATTGCTTAACGCATTGTAAGCCGCCCTGAGTCTCCGGAGAAGGGCGGCATATAAAAATAAATAATAATAATAATAATAATAATAATAATAATAATAATAATAACAACAACAACAACAACAACAACAACAACAACAACAACAACCAGGTTTTTTAATAGAGGGGGAGAGACATCTATTCTTGCCACCTGTTCTCTATTCCTGATCTACTACAGCAAGTTTAGAAGGTGAGAACCATTTATAGCCATGATGGTGAACCTGTTGCACTTCTCGCACGTGAGCCATCACCTGTTGCATTTCCGGGTTCTGGGGTGTTGGCCAGCTGGCCTTCACACATGCAGGAGCACCGGAAACTGGAAGAGTAGTCGCCCGGGGTGCATGTGCGTGCCGGGAAAACAATCTTCCAGTTTACGGCATGCACATGTGCACCACCCACCTGGTCTTACAGTTTCTGGCAAGCATGCGCACAAGAAGGCTAGCTAGCCGGAAACCGGAAGATGGTCTTCCTGGCGCGCACATGCACACCGGGTGGCTGCTCTTCCGGTTTCCGGCATGCGAGCTTCCATTTCAGCACTTGGTGCCAAAAAGGTTCGCCAACACTGGTTTACAGCATCAACATTTCTTAAATACTGTCTGAATTTAGAAACGATTAGATCACAAGCTTACATTGAAGAGCAGGAAGATGAATGTATTGTTCCCCTCACAACGTGTACATTTACTCTTAAGGATCAGCTGGATGATATGTTGCAGAATGTAAGAAAATAGGGCCAGTACAGGTAGTCCTCAACTTAACGACCACAATTGAGCCCAAAATTTATCTTGCTGAATGAAACATTTGTTAAGTGTGTTTGGCCCCATTTTTGTCCCACTTTCTTTTACCACAGTTGTTAAGCGAATCATTGCAGTTCTTAATTAATAACACTGTTGTTAAGTGAATTTGGGTTCCTCACTGACTTTGCTTTTCAGAAGGTCACAAAAGCTGATTACATGACCTCCCCACCCCGGACACTGCAACTGTCATAAGTATGAACCAAGTGCCAAGTATCCAAATTTTGATCACATGACCATGAGGATGCTGCATTGGTCATAAGTGTGAAAAAAGGTCGTAAGTCACTTTTTTCAGTGCTATTATAACTCTGAACAATCACTAAATGAATTATTGTAAGTTGAGAACTACCTGTATCTAGACCTGTTATCATGCCAATCGAAGCATTAAATACTTTTGAGTGTAGGAAGAAATTATGGCTTTCATATTGTTCCAATTTGGGCACAAATCACTTCAGTTTGGGAACTAATCAAGGAACATCTGTGGAAGCAGAAGGTTTGATTAAACGTGTTCTGGAAAAGTTAAAAACCGGTTATATTTATATCCCATTAAATTTTGGAGTCAAAAACCTTGGACTCCACATATTATGCAGCAATCCATGAGAGAAGCAGGGTTCGTGAGTTTATTTCTTGTAGAATTTAGTCTTGTGAAGTAGCAGTAATTAGATGGGGAAAATGATATTTAAAATACAATTGACGTAGTCTGTAGAGATTGTCAGTCATCCAGGTCATGGTTGTTCCGAAGAAGTGCTTTTTCAGGAAGCAACTGGACTTTCTTGTTTTTCCTTTTGAAAACATTTCTCTTCTCATCCAAGAAGCTTCTTCAGCTTTGACTGGATGGTGGGGAATGGAAGGATTTATACTCCTTATAGAAGACTTCAAATGCTTCAACGCCCTCTGAAAGGATGCAAACGACCAGCTGTCTGCAAGGAATATAAATTCTTCCGCAACCCCCCCTCTCCCTCCCCGCTCCTGGCACATGATGGCCTGGTAGGCCCGTTTTTCTTTCTTACCTGGTTCCAGATCCTCTCTATTTATCTGGAAAGGGCGAAAACAGCCTTTCCCATTCCCTTGGAGGCCCTATGGAGGCTGAAAGGGCCCATTTCCCAACTCCCGGTGGGAGAGGAAGTGACATTTTTTGCTGTCCCCAGCCTCCAGAACCTCTCTAGGAGTCTCTAGGAGCCTCTCTAGGAGTCTCTAGGAGCCTCTCTAGGTGTCTCTAGGAGCCTCTCTAGGAGTCTCTGGAGGCTGGGGCAGCAAAAAATGTCACTTCCTATCCAACTGGGAGTCGGGAAATGGGCCCTTTCAGCCTCCGTAGGGCCTCCGAGGGAGTGGGAAAGGCTGTTTTCGCCCTTCCCAGATAAATAGGGAGGATCTGGAGCCAGGTAAGAAAGAAAAACGGGCCTTCCCCACCCCCCACCCAGGCCCTCCAGAGACAGGAAACAGCCTGTTTCCCTACTTCTGGTGGGCCCAGAAGGCCCGAAAATCATCTGGCCGGTGCGCGCATGCGCCCCAGAGCTGAGCTGGCATGCCCACTAATATGGCTCCACATGCCACCTGTGGCACGCGTGCCATAGGTTCGCCATCACGGACCTAGGGTCCTTAACCAAAACTGACTATTCCCTCCGGCCCTTGGAAGTTCTGAATTCAATAGCACATGATGAATTCAGGAAGATTTCCAGAATGAGATTAATTATGAGCAGGACTGGTATTCACTTACCTTCACAAATGTGGCAAATGTGAGCGCACACGTGCTTACTTCGCTGGCACACACCACCTCTGTGCATGCACAGAGCGTCAAAAACAGGATGTGATGACAGCCGCCGCCACTACCATTTTGCCCGAACCGGATATAACCAGCTGAATACTACCACTGATTATGAGGCACTATTTGATTAAATAATAAGAAAAAGAGAGAGAACAATGCACACATTAAGAAGTAACGCTGCCTGATGATTGTAGCTTCACTTGTTAAAAAAGAGATAAAGTTATAAAATACATATTTTGAAATGTTCAGGCATTTACCTGCTTTCAGGTATATTGGATAAGAGGCATGATCAGAACGCAAAAGAAAAATCTAGAGACTTTTTCCATTGGGACCGATTCCATTATGGATCGTAATGAAAGGGGATTTTAGGGGTTTTTTTCCCACTAGCCTTAATGGCTGAGTCTATTTTGTAGAGAAAGGCACTTAGGCTACCTATCATTTTTGCCAATGACAGCTGCGTCTTTACTTTTCTTTCTTTTTTTTTCCCCCAAGGCAGAACTGAGGAAAAAATGGAGTAGAAGTATAGTAGAAATTGACTTTAAGGAACTTTCTTGATTTCCTGACTTTTAATTTTATGCATATAAAATTTTCCAGCAAGCCGGGCTGGCCTAATTTTTTAAGTGTTTTTAAGTGTTTTGTTTATTATTTTTAATTAATGGGGCCAAATTTATATATATATATATTTTAACTGTATTTTAATATTTGTACTTGATGTTTTTACTTGGCTGTTCACTGCCCTGAGTCCTCAGGGAGAAGGGCGGTATACAAATTCAAAATAAAATAAAATAAATAAAATATAGGCAAAATTTTCTTTTTTAACCAGACATTTTTTATCATTATAATCTATCTCTTCAAAGAGTTTCATTTTGCTCTTGTTTGGCTGGTGGATCTTCCTCATAGCTCTTCTGCTTTATTCATCTGCTGTTAGTGTGGCTTCATTAATGTAGATAGCGTGATTTTATTATGTTATTTTATTATATGGCTGATTTTGTAAGCTACCTTGTGGCAGGAAAGCAGGATACAATTCTTATAAACAATTTGATATCCTGCCTATATCCAGGAAACTGTTTCTACACCATGTAAACAGATGTTCATGAAAATAACTCAGTGGACGTATATAAAACTCCTATAAAACCACATGGTTCTACTTGAGTATCTGTGTGGAAAGTGCCAACAGTCCATTATCTATATCAGGCCCTTCTCATTGAGGGCTGCATCAGGGTTGTGTTTGACCTTGGGGGGCCAGGGGGGGCGTGGCCAGAGTGGGCCTGGCCAGGTGACATCACTCATATTGGGGGCATCTTTGGTGGCCCGAGCACCCTGCCAGCAAAAACAGGCTCCCGAGCTCCGTTTCTGGCTGTGGCGGCCTCCTGCAACCCTCTTCCAGTGAAAACGGATCCCAGGAGGGCCGCACAGAGCCTCGCGAGCTCCGTTTTCAGCTGCAATGGCCTCCGTTTTCACTGGCAAAGGCACCACGGCCCAGTCTTTTGGTGTTTCCAGGGCAGCCCTGTGAACCAGATCTGGACCCCAGGCCTTGAGTTTGACACCCATGATCTACATAATCAACTCCTTGAAGACCACCATATCTGGACAGATCTATCCAATAGAGACATACCACCAAGGAATTTAATTTAGGCACTTAGACATGGATGAGAGAGGCTTATATATGGATTTAAGCATAGGCAGAAGTCAAACCAGATGATACAACAGAACCAAAGGGCAGAAGAAGCAGCAGAGAAGAAAATTATTTTCCAACAAGGTACTGTATACAGTATACTACTGTACAGTAGTGGTCAAAATTGTGGAAATCTTTTGGGAAAAATGTATTTTTGAGATTTGATGGCTAATAACACCACTTTTTTTTTGGAGTTTCGAGATAATCCTATTCCACTGCTGGAATGGCCTGGGAATACCCCAGACCTTAACCCAATTGAAAATCTATGGAGCCGACTAAAGAAACTTGTTAGTTAGAAGCGACCCGGCAATAAAACCCAGTTAATAGAAGCAATCATTCAATCTTGGTTTCACATTAGAACAGCTGCAGGACTAAAAGACTTGGTTCACTCCATGGAAATATGTTGTAAGTCCATAATTCATGCTGAAGGTTACCCAACTAAGTATTAACCGACATGGTGATCATTTTTGTATATCTCGTGTGTCACTTTTCTTCTTTATACTGTAACTGCTATTCTAATAGCAAATCATTCATAAAAGTTATTGCATTACATTCTTGATTAAATTATCTTTCCATTGATATATAATTTTATGGTACTACTCCCCCCCAAAAAAGTGGTGTTATTAGCTAGTTTTGGAAAATCCACTGTTCCCAAAAGGTTTCCACAATTTTGGCCACTACTGTATGTGACCTCGTTTATTTATTTATTTTTCCAAAAGGAACCTTCCATCAAAATGAATATTTGGCCACTTTCTTGATGCTTCAATGAACAATGTTTGTGTGAGTTTGTTTCCTGAATTTTATTAAATGCCAGCAGATTAAGACTCTGCTCTGTACTTTTTCGAGAACGCGATTCAGTAGAACCTGTTTCTAAACAAATGTTTATAAGGTTGCCATTTTCTAGGTTTTCATGACTTTTGAAAATTTACAACACTTGTTGTGGGTTGAGTATTCTCAGAAGTAGGCTACACTGAAACGTAGTACGTTAACAGATAGATATGTTCCTTCTCTTTCTCCTCATACCCTTCTCTCTCCTCATACTGCCCCAGGCTTGTACTCAGCTCTGTTTCGGATTACTTTGCCGCCATGTTTACGAATGATGTTTGTGAAGCCAAGCAAGAAGAAATCAAAATGGAAGGGATTGATCCTGGTGCACTTTGGGATCTCGTTCAGTTCGCATATACAGGTAACCCTCGTGCGTTGAATTCTCCTTTCGGGAATAAACCCTGATTCTTGTGCTCATCATTCTTTAACAACCATAGAATATGAATAGATCAGCAGTTTATATAATCTGTTTTAACAATGGTAGGAACTGGCAAAGATATAATGCTTAAACTCGTGAAATTTAGACAAAAGCTCATCATTGCTCTTCTAAAGTTGGATTATTTGTATAGATTTTTTTCCCAAAGTTGTTTATCTGGTAACCATAATTTTTCATACTCCAAACTGGAGCTACCTTTATCAATGTTAATAAGGAAAAAGTAGCATTCCATTCCATTGCTATTAGGAAAACAAGAGAATATGTACCAGTTTGTAACTTCTAATTAATGATTATAACTGTGATTTATGATTTATAACCTATTATTTGCTGTTTGTATGTATGCTGTGAGTTTATGCACTGGAGACAAATTCCTTGTGTGTCAAATCACACTTGTCCAATAAAGAATTCAATTCTATTCTATTCTATTCTATTCTATTCTATTCTATTCTATTCTATTCTATTCTATTCTATTCTATTCTATTCTATTCTATTCTATTCTACTCTACTCTACTCTACTCTACTCTACTCTACTCTACACTACACTACACTACACTACACTACACTACACTACACTACACTCTACCCTGAGTGAGTTTACACATCAGAGACAATTTCCTTGTGTGTCCAATCACACTAGACCAGTGGTGGGTTCCTCCCGGTTCTGCCCGGTTCTGCCGAGCTGGTAGCGGTGACGATATGATGTCACTGAACCGGTTCTGCCCCCCCGCCCCTCCCCACCCCCGCATTATTCTTACCTTTTATTTGGCCCCACCCCAATCTATTGCTGCCTCCTGAATCCCAGCTGATGGCTAGGGGGAAAAAATCTGTTTAAACTCTTGCCGTGGGGCTTCAGAGGGCCGCCCTACAGCTGATCAGTGTTAAAAGAAAACTAATGAATAGACTGGTGCCTGCAAAAATACATGAGTAGATCAGTGCCTGCAAAAATAAATGGTTAGATCGGTACAGCCTGGTAGACCAGTACCTCTGCTAAATCCTAAATAATTGTCACATGACTATCAAGCCACGCCCACAGAATAAGCCATGCCCACAGAACCGGTAGTAAAATAATTTAGAACCCATCCCTGCACTAGGCCAATAAAGAATTCTATTCTGTTCTGTTCTGTTCTGTTCTGTTCCGTTCTGTTCCATTCCGTTCCGTTCCACTCCACTCCACTCCACTCCACTCCACTCCACTCCACTCCACTCCACTCCATTCATTATTTCTTCCACCACCCCCATCTGTCTATAAACTGTCTATAAACTGTCTATAAAAATAGACAGTTCTGTATTTCAATTATCTTAAATTTGTGCTTTTAGCAAGAACGATTATTTAAAATGAAAAACAATTGAAGTTCATAGTTATGACTAATATAGCTCGTTGGTTAAGGAACAGACTGTAAATGGGAATGCATTAATGCAGAGTGTCCTCAGGGTGCAATTAAAAAGACAAGATGATGACACATAAAAATACAGGCAGATCTTTGACTGCAATATTCTAGTCATCATCTTGACTTCTTTTTTCTTTTTTTTACCCTATTCTGTATTATTTCATCCTGTTGATCAATAAAGACCATTTCCTGCCTCTTCTGTGGTTTTAAAATGCTGTTGGGCTAAAAAGTACTAAAATTTGTTTCTTGTGTTATTCTTGTGATGCTGAAGCCAGAAGAATATATATATATTCATTCCTAGGATCCAATTCTCGACTGTGATCATAAATTTAAAATACTATTCCTCATTTCTAGAACATTGGATAACTTAAGAAAACATTGCATACAATATCTTGGAAACTCAGACTAATACCTCTGTACACACTAGTATTGATCCTTGAAAAAGAAAAGGTTAATCAGTGTCCTATTGATAAATTTTTAAGGCCAAAAGTTTATACTAATCATTCCTACAGCCATCTCTCCAAGAGAGTCCATGACCAAAACAAATATTCTATATTTGCCTTTCAGCTTTTCTCTTCTTTCCTTCAAAGAACTAACGTATTGATTAAAATACTACAGATGCTTCAAAACTAAAGGAACATTAAATAAAAACGTTTTAAATTAATATTTCAGCTTGCGACCGCTATCCAATGCATAAATTACTTGCGCATGTAAGCTCCATTTAACTTAGTGTTTACTTCCGATTGTTTTGTTTTAGCTTTAACCAAAGCTATTCAGCCAGGTGAACATGCAATATTTATGTTTTAATTTGAACTTCGGGAAACGTGGCAAGCAGTTGTTAATGTTCAGATTGCCTGCGGGAAGACAAAACTCCATTAAAGGAAACGAAACAAAGACATTACGAATATTTAGAGTTCCTTTTTTTTCCCCTCCTTATTTTCAAAAATTGGCAGTATGTTTTTTTTGAGCCATTGCTGATGTACAGAGATATGATGATGTTATCCATTCAATCTCTTGGTGATTCTATGGGTCAGGTCTCTCCGCATCTTGTGATCTTGCACTGCTTCTGTCATGCCCTCATCAGAGTCTGAATCTGAGATGGAAGATGAACAGCTGACAGAGAGCAGGAGAGTGGCTCTGTTGGCTGCGGAGGAAACTGGGGAAGGGCAAATTCAGACTGAGCAGAGCAGGGGAGAGGGGGTTCAGATGAAGACCAAGGCCCACCCCCTCCTCATCCTAGGGCACACAGGGAAGAATGCAGAAGAGAACAACATGAGTTGCATAGTTTATGAGGAAGGAAAGGGCCCTGATTCCCTTCACAAGGCACACCTGGGGATGGAGTTTAAAGGAGAGGCAGTTGGGAGAGGCATTTATTGGGAACAAATGCTGAATTAATCTGGCATTGAGAGTTGTGACCTGCATTCCCGGCATTCCTCCTGATTATTGGAATTATTGCCATGCTACTATGTACCTATCATGTCTTGCTGGAATTTTTCTTCCCATCTGGGACTCATTATCTTGCCCTGCTGGAGTGGTTGAGTGCAGTCATTCTGTTTACAGCAATTTTGACTGGAATATCTGCAGGTTTAGAATAGAATAACAGAGTTGGAAGGGATCTTGGAGGTCTTCTAGTCCAACCCCCTGCTTAGGCAGGAAACCCTACATCACTTCAGACAAATGGTTATCCAACATCTTCTTAAAAACTTCCAGTGTTGGAACATTCACAACTTCTGGAGGCAAGTTGCTCCACTGATTAATTGTTCTAATTGTCAGGAAATTTCTCCTTAGTTCTATGTTACGTCTCTCCTTGATTAGTTTCCACCCATTGCTTCTTGTCCTACTCTAGAGGTTTGTGGGAGAGCTTTTCTCCAGGCCGGAGAGTAGTTTTAGTTTTTAGTTTTAGTTTTTATTATATTTGTATACCGCCCTTCTCCCGAAGGCGCAGGGCGGTGAACAGCCATGATAAAACAACATATAAGACAAAATTAAAAAAAAAACATATTAAAACAATTCAATCTTTGGCCAAAATTAAAATTAAAAGAGTAAAAGGGACGTTGGAGCAAAGTTGATGCCAATAAAGGGACTCATACCAGTTCTCTGGCTGTGTTGCCTTCGTGCCATGCCCTGGGTCATCACAGCTTCTTTGCGTTGTTCTGTTCTCTGACTGATGTAAGCTTTGATGGTGTCCATCCACCATGTTCTGTGATGGCCTGGTTTTCTTTTATCCTAACTCTTCCAAACATAAGTGAATTTCCAAGCATGACATGGCCAAAATAAGTTAGAAACAGTTTTATGATTTTCCACAAAGGTATATGCTAAGTATATTTGATCTCTCCAAAGGAAACCACAGGTGAACTTCAATATGTTGCAGCTTATCTCCAATATCTAATCTTCACCACACCCATGACATCCCTAACAATTACAGGTAGTCCTCAACTTACAATAGTTCATTTAATGACCATTCAAAGTTACAACAGCATTGGAAAAGGGGACTTATGATCGTTTTTCACAGCTACGACCATTTTCCTTTGAATGATCTCTTCTAAAAGATTATTTCTCGATTTACAACAGTTCATTTAGTGATAACTGATGACCCTTTTTCACACTTATGACCTTTGTAGCAGCCCCCTGATTGTGTGATCCAAATTCAGATGCATGGCCACTGCTTCATACTTATGACCATTGCTGGGTCCCAATGTCATGGGATCTCCTTTTGTGACCTTCTGACGAGCAAAGTCAATGGGGAAGACAGATTCACTTAACAACCGGGCTACTCACTTATCAACTGCAGTGATTCACTTAGCAACTGTGGCAAGGAAAGTCATAAAATGGGGGCAAAACTCACTTAACCAATGTCTCACTTAACAATTGACATTTTGGGCTCAATGGTGATAATAAGTTGAAGACTACCTGTACTTTCTCTCCATGTGGAAGATTTCCCTTTCAAATATGAGAGCAAATATGTGATGATTTGGAAATTGACCTCAAGTATAGTTCAGAAAGGTTTAGCCAGTTTCTTTCTCATCTGTGTTTCACTAAACATTCCTGGAGTTACACAGTGGATTGCCAATATTTTTCCTTATCCTAAGGATACAGAAGTATCCTTAGGATACAATAGATATGCATCTACTGTATAATCGTAAAGGTAAAGGTTCCCCTCTCACATATGTGCTGGTCGTTCCTGACTCTAGGGGGTGGTGCTCATCTCTGTTTCAAAGCCGAAGAGCTAGCACTGTCCGAAGACGTCTCCATGATCATGTGGCCAACATGACTAAATGCCAAAGGCGCATGGAACGCTGTTACCTTCCCACCAAAGGTGGTCCCTATTTTTCTACTTGCCTTTTTTATGTGCTTTCAAACTGATAGGTTGGCAGAAGCTGGGACAAGTAACGGGAGCTCACCCTGTTATGCGGCACTAGGGATTCAAACCACTGAACTGCTGACCTTTCAATTGACAAGCTCAGCATCTTAGCCACTGAGCCACCACATACCTACAGAAGTATATGGCTATGCAGCTACTGTATAATCATAGACCGT